GTTGCCCTTTGCGGTTGCCTTAGGTGATCTGGAAGCCTGGTTTTGAGACTTATATATGTGTCTTGTCATTTCAACAGATGCAGCCTACTGTGCTTTTGTTGAGGTAACTTTTTGCTCACCCAGTGGTCTTCAATTCTCAGCAAGCCACCAAGAGGCGTTTTCTCTGCTGCTCACTAGTGTACCAGTTCCTGGATTTGGAGTGGTGGACTTCTGGAGTCCTGCGCTGACCCATTTTCTGGGTGGGCTTCTGGCTGGAGCCTGTGCGTTCTTGTGATGATATCTGGGCATGCCTATGTCTAGGGCCTGCCTGCCTGTTTTCTGGAAGGGCCTTTGGCTGGGACTTGTGCACCCCAGACCCTAGTATGTGAGTAGGCTTCTGGCTAGAGTCTCCATGAACTTACCAATGGAATCAGGGCAAGCCTCTGGATGTTGCTTGTGCGCCTGTGAAGCTCTTTTCTGGGAAGCCCTTTGGCTTGGACCTATGTGCCCAAGACACTGATGTCCAGGAGGGGCTCTGGCTGGGATCTGCCTGTAGCTGTGCCACTCTGGTCCATACCATTGCTTGCCAGGACCTGTGTGCACTTACTGATGCTATGGGGCAGGCCTCAGGCTGTTGCTTGTATGTCTGAGCAGCTCTTTCCTGGGCAGCCCATTGGCTTGGGCCTGTGTACCCAAGATGCAAGGTTCTGGGAGGGGCCCTGGCTGGGATCTGCCTGCAGCCACACAGCTCTGGTGCACACTGCTGCTTGCTGGGATCTGCTCATTTTCAAATTTAATGGGAAATTGGTATGTTCCCCAGGCTGATCTTGAATTTGTGCCTGAGTTATTGTATGTCTGTTTTTTTTTCTATGTTAGCCCTCTTAACTATTTTAACTTTAGATCCACCCTTCAAGTAATAGAGTGCCACTGCACATATAGTACAAGAACCTTATAAAATTGTCTCTCTCCTGCTCTTAGCCTTTAAGCTGTTGTTCTCACTTATTTGGCTCTGCAGCAGTTATAAGCTACAACACTCATTGTTTCTCTTTGTGCTTCTAATATCCAGTTGTCTTTGGAATAGATTTTTATAAATAGGAAAAATATTATTTCATTCTACCCTACATTATTTCCATTGTGCCTCATTCCTTTATGTAGTTGCCTAATTTTACCTGGTACCTTTTTCCTTCTTCCTGAATGATTGTGCCAAGCATTTCTTACAGGTCACCTAATGATTAATTTTTTTCAGTTTTGAACATCTGACAAACTTTTTTTCACTTATATTTTTAAAAACATTTTTATGAGTGCTGAATTCAAGATTAACAATTTTTTTTGTTTTTCTTTCTTTCTTTCTTTTTTTTTTTTTTTTTTTTTTTTTTTTTTTTTTTTTTTTTTTTTTTTTTTTTTTTGGTACCGTGGATCAATCTCGGGTCCTTGTGCTTGCGAGGCAGGTGGTGGAACCACTGTGCTAAATCACCAGCCCCCTTTCTTTAGTTCTTTAAAATTGTTACTCCATTGTCTTCTAGTTTTTTGGTTTTCAACAAGATGTCATTGTTGAAAAGATGTGGAGAGGTCACTTTTAGTTCCTCTGCATATACAATGTCATTTTTGTCTGGCTGGGTTTGAGATTTTTCTTTTTGCCTGTAGTTAGAAGTAAACTAGAATATGATATGTCTTGTAGTTTCTATATATGCTTTTTCCTTGGCATTTGTTGTGCTTCTTGGCTAGTGGGTTATAATTTTTATTTGATCTGAAAAATTTTCAGCAGTTAATTCTTCAAATAATTATTTTTATTGCTTATTAATTCTCTCTTCTCTTTTAGGGACTCCAGTCATTTTTGTTTTTGTTTTTATATTTGGTACCAGGGATTAAACTCAGGACCTTATGCTTGCAAGGCAGGTGTGGTGCCCTTGAGCTCAATCCCTGGCCCAGGGACTCCAGTCATTTTTATATTACTTTGCTTATAGTTACTCTGTTCAAGTTGATTTCTTCATTTTTAAATTCTCTAATTCTGTACCTTTTCTTTCTCAGTGTTTTAATCTTCTCTTAATCACAGAAGTGTATTCTTTGTCTCTGATACTGTATTTTCATTTCTGGTATTGCAATTTAGATCTTTAAAAATCTTTTTTTGGGGGGGTACCGGGGATCAAACTCAGGTCCTTGTGCTTGCGAGGCGGGCAGTGGAACCACTGAGCTAAATCCCCGGCCCCTTTAAAA